AGAAAGCCTCTGAGGCTTGTATGAAACCATTAAATACACCAATATACAAAGAGAGTATAGGCAGGAAAGGGAAAAGTTTTAAGAGAACAACAGTTGAAAACTTCCCAAATTTAATAGAAAACATTCATCTATACCCCTGATAAGCTCAAAACACTTCAGATAGGATAAATGCAAAGAGATCCACACTCTGACATAATAATAAAAATGTTAAAAGTATCAAGAGAAGAATGACTCCTCATATACCAGGGAACAACAACAAGGTCACGCTCTATTGCATCAGAAACTGTGGAGGCCAAGAGGGAGTGGAATGGCGTGTAAACTAATGAGAAAAACTATCACCCCAAAATGCCACATCTAGAAAAAATATCAAGAAGGAAAACTAAATAAAGCCAGCCCAGGAAACTAACGCTGAGAGCATTTGTTGCTGGAGATTTTCCTTATTAGAAATACTAAAGAAAGTCCTTCAGGATGAAAGCAGATGGTGACAGGTGACAGGTGGCATTGGAAAAGGTGATCAGGTGCTTATAAACATAGTATAAATGCATATCTCTTCTCCATTTTTAAGTGCTTTAAAAATCAATTGTATAAAGCCACATGAGTGTTCTGCACCTGGGCCAGTTACATATTTAAACACAGCAGACCTGACAAAGATGCCACATTGTCAGCAGCAGGGACCCGTGTGACCTTCGATGCCAAGCAGAGTGCTCACGGGCAGTTCAGGACCCCAGGGACACTCACCTGCACATTACCCTTGCTCCAAAGTGGCACCAAACTTCTTGAAGACGTTGCCTTCTTAAGTTTTTTCACCTCTACGAAGGAGAGCTGGGCCCAGAGCATGAGTATGCTGGCCAGCCCTTCTCGGTGCTGGAAGTTACTGTCCTTGGCACGACGACACAGGTGTTCGGTAAATTCCTCTCTAACAGTAGAGTACTGCTCATCATGTAGAACCTGCGAGCATCACAGTGAGCCGGGGAACATGGCCAGAGCTCATGCTCATGCCACAGCTGCCTGACATCAACCTTACCATGTCGTAGAGGATATTTCTAAAGCTGAATGAATTCTCACACGGTTGGTCCTCTCTACAGACTCCAGCTCAGGCAACAGACATTGGAACCAACTGTCAATACAGGGCAGGAGTGTGGCACAGCAGGGTGCCTTCCCTGGCTACATGTGTGGAGCCCTGGAGGCACGATGTACAGAGAAGTATTTTAGTTGTTCCCGAGTTAAATGCAATTGGCGCCTGCGTGAGTTTTCCTGCGTCTCCAGTTTTATACATAGAACTAACAGCCCCTGTCTGACAGGGACACATTTGAATAAAGTTTTTTCTCTCATTAAAATTCAACTTTGTAAGCTTTATGGAAATAGGGACTTTTCTTGGCCTTCTCCAAGAACTGAATTTGCCTGTCTTAGCTATAGACACTCAGGGCCACTCGGGAATGTCAGTGATGAGCAAGACTTGGACTCAACAAGTTCCCGAGACTTTCCCTGGAGCTCAAGGGCAGCCTGTTTCTCCTGGAATCTTTCTCTCAGACTTAAATAAGTCATTATTTTCTCTAACTCTTAGGGTCTCAGACAATAGATGTCCATGACAATGACAGCTATGACAATGTAGTTATGGCCACCTCTATGTACAACTTGAGGATTTCTCAGTATCTTCCTTGGAATGTCTTTTTGAAGAGATCCTTTCCTGGAACCTACCAATTAATTGTCTTACTATAACAAGAAATCATCCAACATGTTTTATTTCTTCTTTTTAAAATGTTTGGAAGTGCCTTTACAGGTATGGTGAGATACACTGTGGAACATACACAACAGGTTGTACTGAAAGCCATGGGCATCGAAATGGATAAATACATTACACAACCAAGAGTCAGAGAAGCACAGGGTGATACCAGCATGCTCTGTTCATAATATCTGGCATTAAGAATCCAACTTCAGAAAAGTGAAAAGTAAGGGATAACACCCTTTTCTTCCAAATGCCAGATAAAAATTATTTCTTCTATTTGCTGCCTGGAAACCACCCAGAATGTACAGTTGACTGGGCCCAGTGTGTCTGGCCACTCATTATGGTCTACAGCCAAGGGTCCACCAACTGTACAAGAGGCATCTGAGGCTGGGCCTGACAAGGGGGACACAGGTTTAAATCTCTAGGTAACATCATGCTCTCTAGACATCTATCACAGAGAAGCAGCACTGTAAAAATGATTGGCCACAGAAGACATGCGGCTGCCCCCTGTGAGCGTGGCCCTGCAGTGTGGTGCTCAGCGTGTGGGTGTGCTGCTTCTCACTGGGTCTCACGTCTTTTCCTCTGAGCTCAAGCATTTCTTTCCTTAGTTCTCCACTCTCAGATCCTGCCTTTCAGTTTTGATGTTTGCTTAAACCAACAACGATGTGTGGAGAAGGCCTAGAATATCTCGTAATGGAGCCCTGGACAACGGGTTTGTTCTCAGAATCCACTCTGAATTCTGAATTGTCGCCCTTGCTGTAAGTCCAAAGTAAGGCTCCAGAGGAGGACAACTAAGGAAGGAAGCCACTGGATCTGTGCTAAGAGGAGGGACATCTGCCAGTCCTGGCATCTTCTGGTGTCTGAACTGGTGGCTGTGGAACACTTTACTGCACAGGAGAACTGGGATGGTGGAAGGTCTACTGCACGTTTCCAGATGTGTCCAGTGGAGATTGGCAATATGGATGCTGAGTGCAGGAGTGGTGTGCTTCCTGTCAGCCCACGATGTTCATGGAATGGAAATGCTTGTACCATTTAGGAATATACATGGGAAAAATGGAGACCCTAAGTGATTGTGATCAGGAGAAAAGACACATTCTCTAAGGAAGCATCTTGGAGTGAAGTGAATACAACATAAGCTATTTCATTCAGTGAGTCAGATTCCTACAGGAGAGGTAACAGTAAAGTAGTAGGTCTTTCAGCTCCAACCTTAGAATGGAAAGTAGAAAACCCCATGTGCTCTTTTTGGTAGAAGGAAGTGAAAGAGAAGTGCCAAGTCAAAAGTAAGTTCCGCTATCCTGAAGAAGTGCAGTGGCCCTCCATATCCACAGCTTCTACATCCACTGATTCAACCCAGATCAACCCATTCAGAAAAAAATACATCTGTATTAAACATGAATACTTATTCCTGGTAATTATTCCCTAAACAGTACAGTATAACAACTATTTACATAGCATTGACATTGTGTTAGGAATCATAAGTAATCTAGAAATCATTTCAACTCTACAGGAGGGTTGTATAGGTTCTAGGCAAATCCTACTATACCTTTTTTACATAAAGAACTTGAGCATCCTCAGATTTTTGTAACTTCGGGGGGACCTGGAATCAAGTACTACAGATATGAAGAAGGGACCATAATATTTTCAAACAGGTAAAAAAATTCAGCATCACACAGACCCCAAATTCCAAAGCAGCATCCAACTCTAAAGTGTATCACTGCAGAGGGCGGTGGAGATGTATGAAAAAGCCATTGTCTTCTCAGTTTCTGCAGCATCTTAATGAGATTCAATCTTTAACATACAATGACAATGTTTCATCTGAACAACTGACCAAGAGGAGCAATTAAAGCCAAAGAAATTTTGAAGACGTTTCATAGAACACGAAGGTTGTTCAGCATTGAGTTGACAACATTATTGCTTCCTTAAACTGGGAAGATAATGTCCCTGAATGAACTTGAATTTCCACCTGGAAAGCATTGGTGTCCTACTTGTTTGAACCATGGAACAGTCTGTAAACACTGTAACCCAGGTTAGATGTCTCTACTTTTATACTTTTAGAAATTTCTAAAAGCAAACAACAAAAACACTCCATTACCTATCCAAATTGTATAAAGTCATAATGAAACTAACAAGTATTAAGGACTTTAATATTTTAAAAAACTGAAATACAGTTTTTGCATTTTGTGCTCATATGCACAAAAAATTAAATACAAAGTGATCCCTGTATTACATATCTCATTTCAAACTTTCTTTTTTGTTCCTTCTCTTTTTGAGATATAAACTGTGAACAGACACACTGAGCTCTAGGACAAGATATCTGGGTTCTGTGGCTCAGTCTTCCCATGTTTCAAGGAGAAAGAAGCTTTGAAAGCTGTTAGTGGGTAATAATTACCCAAGTGCTGAAAAGTAATCCTGATGGGGGGTGGGTTTGTACACCTAGCAAAGTTTTTTGGCTCATTTGCTGCCAAATGAGCCAAACATTTTATAAATAAGCAAGAAAGCCTGCTACCTCACAGCCTAGATTTCACAAGCCAACTACCTCACAGCCTACATTTCACAAGCCAGCATTTACAGGGGTCTGAAGGGTCTGATGAGAGACCAGGTGTGGCATGAAACATTTACGACATGCCAAGTTACTGCCTGAGACACTCATATGCACCCTGAGAACAATGGGTAGTATTTGCCAAAGTGCCAAAGATAACACTGGCAGTTTCAAGAAATGCACTTGCAGCCTTAGGTACTTGGCCAACACACCCACCAGTCCCTCAAATGAACCAGCTACCTCATCTTCTAAGCAGAGGCCCCTGCTGTCCTGTGTCTCATTTGCATCTCTAGAGCTTCCATCTGGATCCTCAGCACCCAGGCTCAAGCCCATGCAAAGCTACTGCCCAAATGCATCCACAAAACCAAGTCACTGACCAGGGAAAGCCAGAGGGTGGTCAGTTATTACACTACCAAACACCCACTGCACCTTGCACTTTAGACCTGATTTCAAGGTGGTCTGACCCTCAACAGAGACATGAGAAATGAGTCCTCTTTGTAAGATATCTGGAAAGTTTCCCCAGCCTGTTAGGAAAACAAATGGGAAAATTTTTAAATCTCAAAGTCATCTTTGACTTTTAGGGAATATTTCGTTTGGGTGTCCATTTATTACGTCATCAAGGATGTTACAATCTCTGGCTGAAAAGAAAAATATATGTATCTATAAATATAGCCAATCATATAGAAGTTGAAATTAGAAAAGGAACATGTAGGTAAAATAATGAAACAATTGAAGAATGTTTAAATGTTTATTTTCATGTTAAAAACGATGAATTACCCTGTGGTTAGAATATACCATTATGCTGGAAAAGTGAAGTCACTTTATTTCTGAAATATTTCCAGGAAAAAAGGAAAGATCCAAAAGTAATGAAGAGTAAAATCAAAATATTCCAGCAAGTTTCATCAACATTGCCAACATGAGCCACGTCCTTTCCAGGCCAGAATTCCTAACTCAATGCATTTCACGATGTCAGGTCCTAATGTTTTTCCCATCATCAGTTGAGATATTTTGGAGTTGGAGGTCTGTACATTTAAATGCTACAGTTTTGCATGCTTTTATTTTAAAATGTGTTTATTCTGATACACCTCTCAGAGTTTCAGTGTAATGTCTATATTACATACAAAAATATCTGATATCCACATTTCAGCATAGCTTTTCCACCATCCAACCTGTCCCTTTACATACAGGTGATGTACGTCACAGAACACATATGTAATTTTAATTGAGAGGAAGGTTACTAAGTTTATAAACCATCTGAGGTGTCATTTACAGAGACCAGAATGGAGAATTAAGATAGTTTTTAAGATGATTAGAGTAGAAAGCCCAATGATGCCAGTGGCATGAAGGATTCAGATGAAGCCACCCTCAGTGGACTGAATGGATCTTTGCTGACAAAACTTTTACTATGGTCTCAATTTGCCAATATTAGAAAGATCCCTTTCTAAAAAGCTGATCAATTTACACAAAGGTGGACTTCTTAAAACTTAAAAATCAGCAAGTACATATCTCCAGATATGGCGATGGGACAGAAACACCAATCCATGTTTTCACTGCATTCATGTGCATAAATCGAAACTTTCTGTGTAGATATGGAGGATTATTGTAGGCTGGGAATTTACCCTGGCCAGTGTGTGCAACAGCTAGGAAGGTGATGTTTCTTCTCTTGGTACACAGAGTATTCTGGGGTTTGCGGGATCTTTTTCTTCCTCTTCTTGCTCTCTCAAATGCAGCACACCTATGTTTAAAAGCAGGCTTTTTGGTCTGGCAGCTGCTTCTTGGTCCCTGTACTCTGGACTTGAAAGAGGAACACGGGGACCTGGAGACAGTGGCTGCACATCTTCAACTGCTCCAAGCCACGCAGTCCTCAGCTCACATCTCAAGCTCCCTGCCTGCGACCAATGTCCACAGCCTGCAGGTTCCTCCCTCAGGAGGAGTCTGAGCGTGCCACTCTATGGGGGAAAAGGGGACTTGGCAGCCCTTAACAACCTGGGGCTAGGTTATTCATGGAGCCCCAGGATCTGAATATCTCAACCATGAAAACCCAGAGAATGAAGACAGGTGAAAGCATGGTGACTGGAAACTGGAGTTCAAGGCTTAATAGTTTATGTTGTTCCCGTTTGGGTTTAGGTATCTTGAGGTGTAGTGCTTAATAGCTGTGGCTGACTAGCTGGAAAACAAGGTGATCTAACCCATGGTTTATACTCTGCAGTAAATAGGAGCATAAAATACTTCAATGAAAGGTGTCCATGCCACATCTGAAAACAACTGTCACTCTTGAGTCCCACTAAATGGTCTACGTTTGACTCTTCAGCTTCAAGCACACACACGTGTACATATGTGTGTGTGTTTGTGAGTGGATATTATATAGTAAAAGGGACCCTTTCCCATGACCTTCCATTTGACTTCCTCCATGTTGAACTAACTGAACTCTAATGTGAAGGAGCACAGGTGACTATATGGGCGCTGATTCATGCTGGGTGAGTCTGTGTTGTCCACCAGAAGCTTCTTCAGGATCATGGTCAGCTTCCAGCTCCATTTAGGCTGATCTGGCACAACCCAATACTCTGTGTTTGCTCTCTGTCCCTGCCCCATGTTCCCACCTCAGGAAAGGCTCCAATTTGTATGTTCCTTAGTGATGCTCCCCACGACAATGGCAATTCCTCCCAAACTATGCCCCCACCAAAGTCTCGATGTGCCAGTGGTTGGGAGGCAGCCTGCTGAGTAAACTCCTCCCCTTCAGTTCACACTCCTCACTTTCAGAAAGGACCTCCATTATTTCTTTGATATTGAAGCTCCAAAAGAAGATGGAACTGAAAACGTCTCCTAGAAGGAGCCAGACTTCCTGGATAGCTTGGCTGTGCATCCATCAGGCATGAACTCTCTTCTGTCCTCACAGTTGTTCTGTGCTACCTTCCCACTAAGCCCTCTGAAAGGCCACTGGCTAACCAGGGAGCTCTTCCTAAAAGGCGCCAGCTGTCCTGCAAACTCCTTTTGCAGTTAAGGCCTAGGTATTCTGCTTCATTCTCCAGTTAAGTTGAAGCTCTCTGCAGTCCCTGGCTTCAGCTCCTAAGCGCCATTTTAAATACTTATAAAACCAATCCAATACCAGCCTCTGAGGTCACCACTATACCACCTGCAATTTCAGCCCTGTTTGTGGCATGCAAGAGATATAGGAGAAATTTCTGGCTGCTGCTTCATGGCTAGAAGAGGCTGAGTTGTCAAGTTCCCATCCATGAGAATCTAAAATAAGAGAGCAATTGAATGAAAACAATTCTCTTTTGAATAGCTCAGTTGTCAGCCACTGGGAGTAAGGGTGACTTGCTGCAAGTGCCTCCTACTTTGGGCCTTTCAAATTCCATTTCTTAGGGATGCAAATGGCTCAGTTAACTCATAATGAGACAGATTAGTCCAGTGTCTGCTTTTCCACCTATAGCATCTTAATAAATAAAAATGTCGCATTTTGCTAATCTGAAATTCTTGCTTTGAGATGATGATTCATGATGATTCTAAATATTTTTATTTAAAAATTATACAAGAATCACTTTTTTCCTCTTAGCACTTTGATTTTTCAATAGCTATAGTTTGTTCATAATAGCTGCTTCTTGGGCTCTGGAACAGTCATTTATTTTTGTGAATTCTGGGGGGAACCCATTGCTTTTCCCACAAATGCACACCTGTGAAGATAGTTATTGTATGGATAATTTATATGTATTGCTAACTTGAAACATCATTTAATTTTTTTTTTTTTCTGGTAAAATGGAAAGTTTAATTGGAAGCTATTTCCTGGGCAATTTCCCTTCAGCGCAGATGTAGATGGATTCTACCTTTAGATTCAGTTTGGATGGTACATTGTGTTGACTACAAAGAACCTGCATAATCACTGCTCCCTAGGGGCTTTCTGCCCTCAGCAGTGTACTCCAGGAGCTCCCCAGGATTCTTAGCAAACAGAGGACAAAAATAAATGTGTGTGTTCACAACTTTCCTCCAAGTTGTTTTAAACTTCACATAGAAAAATGTAAAGAGATGACCCTCCCTCACTGGATATCAACATTTTAAGCAAAACCCCTGTCCCAGTCATACACAAGAAAGTTCAACAGCAAAAGGTAGGAAAAAGAAAGTGAGAATAAGCTTCTTAGATGCTGTCACTAAAGAAAGAAGTGCTCAAAACTTGAAAAACCTGACATCCTGTATGGAGACCCAGGAAATGATGTGACGCGGCAAATCCCAGGGAATAAAACTCATTTGTAAATCACACAGATCTCAAAGACTGAAATTTCTTCTCTTCATGTTTCAAAAAAAATTCCAGAGGTCAAAGGAACAGGTGCAGGTGGAAATGTATATAAAAATACTGAGCAGCGCTCCTAACAAATAAGGATAGCTACATTCAGTCACCTCTCATGTGTGTCCAAACCCAGGCCACGGGCTGTACCTGCCCACTGTGCTTTAAAAGGTCTAGGAACAGGAAAATCACCATCCAAATCTCTCCTCACTACACACAGCCATTCGCCATGAGATGACTAACAATGTCTGTGGGGTCGGGTTTACTCTACCTGCACTGAGCTGGTACCAGGCTGTAGGCAAAACTGTTGTCACAGAATTCCTCCAGTCCCTACATGTAGCTGTTTTAGAGGCATTTCCCAGCTTAAAACCCAGCTGACGTAACTCTCCAGGCCTCTGAAACATGCTTAGAAAGGGCTCCCTCCAGACCTCCACGAACTCAGCTTTGTGAAGTCACCCTATTGCTGATCAGACTCACTGCTCCACCGTTCAGAAAACAGAAGGCATAAAGGTGAATACAACATAAGAAAGGAGTTTACATCTGGTCCTGCAGTCTTTCCATATAGTCTCTGAAGTCCTGTGAGTCCCCCAGCCCCATGTCCTGGCAGACCCACTTGATGTTGTCATCACAGTCAAACAGGATGGAGTTGGTGTACGGGCCCCCATCCTCAGGGAGGATGGTGGTGTAGGAAGTAAACTTGACCCTCTTCCTCTTCGGAGCAGAAGAGTTCACAGGTTTGTTTTTCATCTCTTTCTCATAGACATAGTCAGAAGGTCTGAGGAGATGACTGTGGAAGGGCTTCTGGGAACCTCCATTCAGCAGGAAGTTCCTCTCCTCGAACTGCAGCCCCCTGTCTATCATGGTCGTGCACTCCTCCGAGGGGAGCGTGATGTCCACTGGGTTCTCCAAAAGCTCCACCTCGTTCCCAAGCCAGACCCAGTCGTGGGAGTGGGGGATGTTGCCCTGCTCGCTCACCGCAAGCCTTTTGTGTCTGTACTTCCAGGCAAATGCCACGCAGTTGATCAGGAAGACCAGGATGGCCAGGCAGAAGATGCAGAGCAGGGCGTACATGCCGATCTCCAAGTCCGTCAAGCCCCTGGAGGCCACTGTAAGGTCACTAGGGTTACTGGATTCTGGAAACTTCCCCTGGGTGGGGAAGCTGGTGAAGGCATCTGCACCACCACTCTTGAGTAGCTTCTTGTCCTTCCCCTCCCCAGGCAGCGGCAGGGTTGTGCTCCTGTTGGTCCTGTCCTCTGGGCCAGCAGGGCCCCACACTGGAGCCACTCCTGGACTGCTCGCTCCTGGCTCCCTTCCCGCTCTATGGAGTTGCTCAGGTGATCTTTGTATTCCCGGTTCACGCCCTCAATGTCATTGCTGCCTCCTCGGTGCTCCTCCTCGATGCCTGGTGCAAACCTGACCTTGACGCTTCCTTTACCCACAGCAAGAACACTCTTCCTCTTGGTCTTCTGGCAAGGCTCACTGATCATCATCTCCAACTTTATCAGGGGCCCTTGTCCTTCGCCCTCTGCAACCACAACTGGCCACTGGGACTGCAAGTTTGGCTGGACAGACACCACCATTTCATCCAATGATGAGACAGTTATGGAAAAATCCTTGGGATCATAAATGTCTAAAGGTGTCACGGAGCCATCACTGAACAAAATCCAAGAACTGACTATGGCTTCCTGAGGGAAACGAAATCAAAGCATGATCAGCTCCCTTCAAATTTACAACATAAGCAAGATTTCCTATATAAACGCTTTTAAGTATATGTAGAAAAAAATCTTCCATTTTATAATCTTTACCAGTTCTTGTCATGCCTTGAACTGGCATCAATAATCTGCAGGAGCTCCACTGGTATGAGAAATAAATAATAAGCTTTCATGAATGCACTAAAGTGTAAATTAATTTACTGCATGCCATATCAAAGAATTTGACTTTGACCTTTCTAAAAACACTTTGAAAGATCAGGCAATTTATCTGAATCAATTTTAGGTGCAACTAATCAGGCTACTGCTAAAGATAATATCGCTTTGAACCTTCTTTATTAGGAAGCCAATGCTGATGAAGCAAAACACACTCTGGTAAATTTCTTGGTAAACGATGGATTATGAAGTTGGACTGCTTGAACGGCCCAGTGCCTCGGTTATCTTTATAAATGATTTGCAACAGCCAGGCACAGTGATGCACACCTGTAATCCTAGCCAACCAGGAGGTTGAGGCAGGAGGATCATGAGTTCAGGGCCAGTCTCAGCAACTTAGCAAGATGCAGTATCAAAAATTACCCATTTGGTTTGGCCAAGGTAAAAAAACATGGCCCTCAGCTCACAGTCCAACAGCAGACTGTGCCTATCACAGGTTATCCTGCTGGAGAACAAATGGCAGAGGAAATGAGCCTCCATCTCTACACGCTTTCCTAGACCCAATGTGCTGGGGGAGATGCAGGGAGCAGCTCCAAGAACAGCAAGGGGCTGCAAGGGGCTGCGAGACCCTGCTGACCCTCTGTGTAGGACAAAACGACCTGGAGAGGAGCTGACCATGGACCAGGGCACAGGCCTCCAGGCTCTCACCTGCTGTGGGGCCTGGAGGACATCCTGGGCAGCCACTGTGGAGACGATGACCCTTCGGTCCACCCTGTGAGGCTGCAGGGAGAGGGACAAGCCAGCCACCAGCTGAACACCCAGCTCCACGATGGTGATGCGGTCATCCAGGACAATCACTGTCTTCTCAGCCAGGATGGAGTCAGAGAGAGGTGAGAGGACCTGGGGAGTAAGTGAGAAAGCGCGGTCTCTGCCCACGTGACAATTTCAAGTCCTGGAGCTGGCGGGGCCTCGGGAGACTCTGCAGTGCTCTACAGAGCGCACACAGGAAGACTGCTTACGTAGGTATCCTGCCATTGTCCAATTAAACTTAGCACTTGAAGGAGTTTTATAAAGGTCACCTTAATCCACTTCCTTTCTTGGGATTCATGCCATGATAACAACAGTGTATTTTCTGAGATAAGCTTGTTTTAAGTTAGAGGCAATAACTCAAATTGCCTGCCTTGGTACTCAGCACTCAAAGAGTAGCGCTTTCCCAACAACCGACATTCAGGCTTTGAAAGCAGTGGCCTGTGGTCAACTCTTTTGAAGGAAATGGTGCTCAGCCCTCCTCCTGCTCACATCCCTTCCAATGGGCAGGTTAGATGCCTATCATGGGACAATATGATCACTGTGTGGACCACTGTGGGATAACTGGATGAACAGTTAAAGTGGGGCAGGGAATAGTCATGTCCTAAGGAGCCGTTCCTACCACTTTACCATCTAATGTGCAACCATGGGAGACTGAAACCGGGACAGGAATATGTCAAAGGCACAATTTCTAGAACAGTCCCCCTAAATGTTGACCTTAACCTTCAAACACAATGAGAAAGCACTCTACAATCACACTGTTATATGGCATAGCTGGCTCTAAAACAAGGGTCTCCCGAATTATACAGGAACCCTTAACAGCAGAGTGTGTTCCCCAGCTGGTAGCAGGAGAATTCAGACTCTAAGTGTGAGAAGGACTGAATCCAGCCATTACTGATGAGAGAGGGACCATGTGAGAAGGAATGGAGGGGTCCTCTTAGAGGACAGGGCAACACCTGGCTGACAGTAAGGAAACTGTGACCTCAGTGTTATAACTATAAGAGAGCTAAGTTCTTCCAAGAAACTGAATGAGATTAAAATCCAATGAGTTCCCCAAACTCCAAGATTAAGGGCCAAGCCCAGCCAGCACCTGGATCTCAGCCTTAGGAACCCTAAGCATAGAACCAGCCCACCCACCAGGACTGTGTACCCACAGAATATAACTTAATAAACTACTGTTGTCTTGAAATGTTAAATTGGTGGTAATATATTACACAGAAATAGACACGAATATAGAATGTTACATATTTAATTCAACTTTGTCGAAAATTAACTTTGGCAACACCTAAAATAAGACATAATTAACTATGAGCAGTAACATTTTAAATTTGCAAAAATAAAACAAGCTGTGACTTTTTCTTTTTTAATCTTGCCAAAATCAGTTAGAAATTATTTTACTATTAGTATGATGAAAATAGAGACCACAGTATTTACAAAGACATGTTTTTCATTGAGAAATTAACCCCAAAGGGTTTTGAGAGGAGGGAGTAGACCTCCAATACCGATGTAACTAAAGTCTGTCTAGTCATTGTAAATATTTATCTGTCAATTTTGACAGATTGGGGCCAGCTTGATGTTTTAAATCTTGAGTATAAAAATTTAAAGGCTTATTCAATTTTTTACCATTTTGTTGAATATATTTGAAATCTGTTTTTACACTTTTTTTGGTAATTGTACCATGAAATTTGAAAACCACCAAAAATTAAGAGAACTTTTATAAATTCCTTTTCTGGTGTAATGTTAAGTTGTATAGATTATTAATGCATGTCCAGTGAATATAACCCTGGTTTTGTGATAAATCTGCTTAGATTTTATTGGTGACATGTTAGATTAGTGGTTGCATTAAATAACTAAATTCCCATTGTGGTTATTAATTGAAATTGTCTTTAAGCAGAAAGTTATTTGTGACTATAAGCTTTGTGCTTAGAGAATGTATGTGTTTTTATCTGTCAGTATGGGAGGACATAAACTGTTTGCATCACTAAAAAAAAAAAAAAAAGAAAAAAAGAAAATAGAGAGCTTTTAACTATAGATTCTTTGTGATTTATAGCCAAATACATGCTTTAAAAAATCTTTGCTTACTGTTAAAGGTATAATATAGCTAAATGGTTAAATGTCAAGGTTGAGGAGAAATTTGCTTTCAGAGGTTCTACCACCTCCTAGTACAGATTAAAAAAAAAAACAGTGTCATATCGGGAAAAGGGTGACTTACACTATGTGTTTCATTTAGCTTTCTCTGGTAAAAACAGATCAGGCATTTTTCTCAACCATCTCTAAAATACAAAATGTGTTTAGGTTATGAAAATTGGTGAATACTCTATTGCTTCTCGTGATTCTGTTACAGGCAGACTCGGTATCTGCACATTTGCACAATCACCCTCACACATGTGCACACCCCTCCATGGCAGCATTTGCCTGCATCATCAGCAGGTACTGGTGTTGGAGAGGTGGCAAAACATGAACCCCCTGTACCTGAACAGTGGTGATTCCCGGCTTCCGACCAACCAGGGTCCTGCCATCCTGTAACTGGGCGACTCTGGGCTCCTCCACCTTCATGAACTCTGTCACAATGTCAGTGATGTCAAACTGCCAGTCTGGGCCCAACATGTAGGTCAGCTGACCCAAGTCAGATAACTCAGTCACAAACTGGGTGAGGACGCGCACCAGGGCATGCTGGTACTGCAGGGAGCAGCCTCGCCCCTTATTTTCCTCGTCCTCCTCGTCTTCGCTCTCCCAGGTGGGCCTGAACACAAACAGACCACAACAGAGTAAGCGTCCTTGTTGGGAAAGAGTGTCATGTGCCCCTGGTTTAGAGTCTAGGTGACGGCGCAGAGTGAAATAAAGTGGCTTTTCTCAGGCCAAATCTGTTCATCCACTGATTCACTCAACTTTCAGCAGTTAATTCATTCAATACCTTTTCAGCAGTCACCGTGAGCCACACAGGCTGCTTCACACTTAGAAGGTGGACAGCAAGTGCACCCTGGCTCCCCTGGTCCACTGCCACAGGAGACTCCAGACCAGACAGGCAGAAATGGAGCCTCTGCTCTTTGCCTTCTGGAAACTGGGCATCAAAATACGATTCCCCATGTGGGAATGAAGCAAGACTGTGGCTTCTGAAGCAGAAATGCGAGGTCCTCAGACAGAGGAGCTCTCTGGATTCCTGCTTGCACTCCCTGTTGGGCCTTGAGCCAGGTGCTCTGCTCTCCCATGGGCTCAGGTACCTCATGCTGAAAATAAGAATGGCTGCCTGTTCCTCCCCTTTGGGAGTATAAAGATCAAGGACCAAGGACATCAAGGTGTGAAGACACTGGGAAAGCCCCTTAGGAACTGCAAAGACAAACCAGGAGCCAGTGGGCTTGGCCTGCTCTCATTTCCCACTCCTCACTGGCCTGGGCCAGTGGACTCCACAGAAGCAGCTTCCTCCTGCTTAGGCCCTTGGGGTGCCAGAGTGCTCTCCCCTGGCACATCCTGCCCTCCCCACAAGTACTGCTCTGGGAGCAAAGCTGCTCGTGTTACTGGTAAAACTTGTGAGTGGGTCGCTCCTTTCACCCATTCTGGCTTTTGCTTTCCTTCACCAAGGCTCTGGCCCTTCCTCCAATCCTGGCACATGCTCTCCATCTATCCACAGCCCACCCTGAGTAATCCTCTGGTTCTGCAATTCCAGAACCTTCCCCTAAAGAAGAACCTCTCCTGTGGCCTCATAGGAGAGGACTTTGATTCATGGCTGTTGCCTAGTTTGTGACCACCAGTGAGGAGGAATACATCAGGGGATGAAATGACAGCAATTCCTATGTACTGTTGTTACACCTACTATGGGCCTAGTCTCCCCACAATGACAGCTGACTTTACAACAGCCACACGTTTAACTCATTCATTCCTCACAAAACTTGAAGACTGAAGTTGGACTGCTATCCTGATCATGTGGATAAGAAAGGGGCCACATAACTGATCATGTGCAGAGGCAGGGCTAAGCCAAATCTGGTTGTCCCTGTGTGCATCCTCACTGGTTCTACAACTAACCTCATCTTCACTGTGGCTATGACAAAAGGCTCACAGTGGTTAACACGTGTGTTACAGTTTAGATCTGAGGCATTCCCAAAAGCTCATGTACAGAACGATGAAAGAATGTTCAGAGGTGAAAAAATCAGATTATGAGACCTGTGACTTATTAATCCACTGATATGTATTAACTGGTGGTAACTGTAGGCAGTGGGGGGTAGTTGTAGGAGGCAGGTCACTGGGAGTAGGCTTTAGGGGTTTATATTTTGTCCCTGCTGAGTGTGGTACTCTTTCTGCTTCTTGGTTACCACGTCCTGAGCTACTTTCTTCCTCCCTGCCCTTCTGACACGATGGTCTTCCTCACCTCTGGCCCAGAGCTATGGAGTCAGCTGACCATGGACTGAACCTCTGATACCATGAGCTGAAATACACTTGTCATTCTCTATGTTGTTCTTGTCAGGTCTTCTGATCTCAGTGACCCAAACTGACTAAAACACGTGACAACTGCTAACTAGCAGGCTTGCATCCAGTTCCATTTGATTTCTGAAATATGTGTTAATTCACAATAGGTCAATCTGCCTCCTTGAACCAGCACTGTGACCAGCAATTCCAGTTTCCTGAAGCGAGAAGTAAAGATCTTTATGGGTAAGAGAGATGCCTTCAGAGGGAAAGGGACACAGCATTAAAAACATTGTGACATACTGAAAAGTCATTCCCATTCTATTTTTGAGTCCATCAGAATACATCACCAGCACTGTTTCTGTTCAGTGTTACAAAGTCTTTAAATGCTGTCCTGATACTTAACAAAGACACACAGAGAGACAACATCTACTCAGAAATTTAAAACATTGTTTTATTTGTATTAATTTTTGATACAATTCATTTTATAATAAATGATACCAGCTGTCTTTTTTGTGCTAGTGATGAGAAGTTCCCCTTAATTAAGTGGATAAAACTGAAAGAAGTGCATTATAGAGTATATTTTACACTTCATTAAAAGGTGGCAGTATGATAAAAGTTGTCAGTAAATACGTGAACTTTTAGAAGTTCTGAATTATTGAAATAAAACAGTTCTGTTAGGTTAAGATAAACTGTATTCTATTAATTCTTTTAACTTTTAATTTTGAAATCATCACAAATTCACTGAAAGAAAGAAAAAGTATGGAGAGATCCCATACACTCATTACCAGTACTGCAAAGTGACTATCTTTGTAATGAGAGGACAATACCCAAACCAAGCAATTGGCCTTGGCACACACAGAGCTCATTCAGATTTCACCAACTTTAGAGTCACTTGTGCCTGTATGCATGCATGGATGTGCAATTTAACCTCCATGCATAACTTATTTTGACCTGGTAACAAAGTTTGACCACTTGAAAGGTAGGCACCTTAATTCCATTTAGGTTCCTTGCCCTCCCTGCTTTCACAAACAATTGTTTTAAAGACTTCCTCTATGTGCTTTAAGCACCACATTGATGAGGTCCTAAGTTTTTGTTTCAACCAAATATGATTGTCAAATATAATTTAAGAAATTCATGAATTCAGGAAGACTTCTATCCTATTTAATTTTCACTGATTCTGTCATTCTTTTTTTCCTTTTCAAAGTTCCAAATCTTTTTCAGTTATCATTTTCTTTTTCTTTGGAGAAGCTCCGCCAGCCATTCTTTGAGGGTAGGTCTCCTGGAAATAAATTTTATCTCTCTTCATGTAAGAATGTCTTTATTTCCCCTTCATTCTTGAAGAATACTTTTTCCAGATATAGATTCAGGACTGACAGTTCTTTTCTTTCACCATTGGAAAAATGTGCCACATCTTTCTGGCCTCCTTGGTCTCAGGTGAGAAATTCATCCTCATTCAAATTAGTGTAATATATGGATGTTTTTAAGATTCTTCCTTTGTCTTCTAAGTTTCACAAGCTTAATTATGATTTGCCTTGGCATGGATTTCTTTGGATTTGTCACTTTTGTGATTTCCCAACTTTTCAAATCCATAAGCTGTGTCTTTTGTCAAATTTGGGAAGTTTTCAGCCACTATTTCTTCAAATACTGTTTCATCCCTATACCCTTTCCTGTCTCCTCAGATTCTAATTACAGAACTTTAGATCTTTTGTCATTGTTCACAAGTCCCTGAAGCTCTGTTCGCTTGTTCCCAACCTACTTCTCTCTTACTCATATTGAGTAAATTCTTTTGTCTGCCCTCCACTGACTTGATCCTCTGACAGCCCCAATGACAGTTACTCTCTTTTTCAGTCCTATGATTTACATCTTCTTCTTTATGATGAGTACATGTGCTTGCTGAGATTTTCTAATTTTTTGTTTTGTTTTGGGGCTATTTATAATTCCTCACTGAGAGCTTTGTTTTTTTTCTCCCTGCTTGGTATAACAAGTGATTTTCAATTTTCTTCTGCACATTCTGAATATTATGAAAGAAAACCCTGGATCCTACTAAAACCTGTTTTAGTAACTTTGTTCTGTTTCAGTGCACAAGTGCTGATGGGCTTTTCTGAGCTTTGGCTCTAAGGACAACTTGGGCTCGGAGCCCAGGTGATCTGTTTCAGACACCATGGGGTACCCACTCCTTCCCTGCTAGTTTTGCCCAAAAGGCAGAATGCACACCCCTGGAAGAGGTAGAGGGTGAGCCAAAATCAAGAAGCCACACAGGCAGTCAGCTCTGGGCCTGTCCTTCGGGTTTCAGGGAAGAGTCTTGAGTTCCATCCTCGGCCTCTGCTGAAGGGCCCACTTTTCCAACAGGGAGTCTCTTGCTTTTCCCATAGCTGGCCATCTAGTGATGCTAAAAACTTCAACATCCTCAGGTCCTGTTCCTTTTTAACAGTCCTGCCTCCATTTACCTCTCCTCTTGCATTTTACCATATGTAGCAAGAAGACTCCAAGGTGCACACCCATCACCTCCTCAGCCACAGCCAGCCTCACTTGCTTTCCACATAATGGCAGTACCCAGCTCTGCTGAGCGCTCTGCTGAGCACTCTGCAGCCTCCTAGCAAGGATCGGCCTTCCTCAATTCCCTCCAGGCCCTCAGTGGCAGCATTCTGAAATCTAGATTTCTACCAGCCCTGCAGTTGTCTGTGCAGTGAGTGATTTCCCCAGGATGCTCCTCTCACATTCTGAGCGCCATCACCACCTTCCCTGTTGCCACTCAGGCCAACCTTGGCCTTTCCTCTCCTGTTTCTGGTCTTCACCCTGATGAGCAGATGTGAGGGAAGAGCCCACCTCTAGGATCTGTCTGGTTGTTGCAGGTTATTTGGATCCTTTTGTTGAAGGACTGGGGCCCCCATTTTCTGACTGGTGCGCATCCTCAGGCTACTCCCAGCTCCTAAATACTGTCACCCTCTCTCCTTGAAATGTGGCTCAGTCCATCTTCAAAGCCAGCAACACCCTGTCCAAATGTTCACACCTTCAGATCCCTACCATTTCCACTATGCTATTGGCTATGGAGAATGTTCTGCTCTCAAATGGCTTATCTGATGGATCTGGTCCACCAGGGTACTCTCCATTGATCAGTTGTTTGTAGCTATTTCTGTGAAGTCCCCTCACCACCCTATCAGATCAGTGTTTGGTGATGGGAATCTTGGAGAGCAAGCAGTTCATCTTTAGAATTCTGTCTAGTGGAGTATGCATCACATCACTGAACTCTTGGGACAACTCTTCAGTAATATTATTCTCAATTCAGATAAAGAAACTGAGGAATGGATAGGTGAAGCCACAAGTTCACAGAGCTTTAAGTGGGAAAACCAGGGTTTAAAACTCAGTCAACCTCACTCCAGAGCTCACAGTCTTAATCCCTGCATTGTGTCCATGAGAAATGACCAACATCCATGAGCAGGGAGACTAAGGAAGAGGAACACAAGAATGAATGGGAGTGAGATGGGGATGGAAAACAGCTGAGCCAATGCCAGGCCCCATGCTAGGCACACCTATCATCTCACTGAATCCTCACAACTACTCTAGAAGGTGTTAATACTAAAATGTGAGTGAGTCCCAAGTCAGACTCATTTGAACCCCAAGCACAGACCACTGTAACCCACTGTGGTATGGTCCTCACCTTCTGTTGGAGGCCACCGGGATCCTCCAACCCTTGATCTGGCTCATCTCTGTGTCTGAGATCTCAATCTGCAAGGGGAGTTGGGGCGCCCAGACAGTGACTTCCACCTGGGAGGTGAACTGCTGGTGGGTGAAGTTCACTATCGTGTCCACTTTACTCTTCATTTCCTTCCCATTCATGAAAATGGAGTCACAGTTGTTGGAAACCTTTGGGGAAGAGAGAGAACCATGAGATGCACCAGAAAGAAAAGCACAAGCAAAACCTAACAACAGCAAAGCACGTGAGCAGTTATAGCTCTGATTATTAAGACACCAGGATGACAGAAAGAACATGACTCCCATAAAAGGGTAATTTGTAGGCACTAATTAGTGACAAATACTGATAAACAGACTCCAGAAAAACCATTTTGTTACAAAACTCTGACAAGTAAACCCATAAACATAATTTAATGGAGTTACACAACCTCTGTTGCTTTTGCGATGTGCTTTTTCTTTATCTTACCTTTTTTCATGAACTCAAACCACCACCAATCAAACACCAGGTGCAATTTGTTTCACTCTGGCACCATATTAGAAGATGCACAAAAGGTTTTTGTTACATAAAAACATACTTAACTCAAGCCATAAAGAGGATCTTCTGAAAAACCAAGAGAGCTTTGTACTAGATTAAAATCCTGGTAAATCCATGAGGCAAAGCACTCATGAAATGTGCTAGAAACATAGATGCAATTATTTTTGCCCCATTAAACTATAATTTTGCAGAATAGTGGTAAGGATGTAGCATTTTAGCATGGTCTTTTGACTCAGCATTTGGAGGCTCCCCCTTTAATTGATCCACTCACAGATTCAGAATTAGACAATTTAAGGCTCCATTTCAATTCACATCTTCAGGATAAACAAATAAAATGTTGCTGCCTTGCTCTCCTGGCCCATCAGGAAAACGTATAGATGAGGGAAGGGGAAGGAGTAGGCATCACGTCATGAAGAGGAGACAGAAAATAAACCATCAATTCACAACAGATCACAAAACTGCAAAGGGGCCAGAATCTCATTTTACAGATGAAGAAACTGAGGCTACAACATAACTGGCCAGAGGTCTGACAACTTTTTTTAACTTAACAAAATAAGCTTATTATCTTGAAGTTCCAGAAGTCAAAAGTCCAAAAATCAATCTTGGTTAAAATTAGCAGAGCTGGGGCTGGGGATGTGGCTCAAGTGGTAGCGCACTTGCCTAGCATGCATGAGCCACTGGTTTTGATTCTCAGTACCACAAAAAAATAAATAAATAAAGATATTGTGTCCACCTAAAAAAAAAACTAAAAAAAAAAAATTTAGCAGAGCTGTTTTCTTAAAAGTCTGTATCAGACTGGGTGCTGGCAAGGCTCACAACTCAACCAGTGATGGCACTACACAGCCAGTCTGACAAGCCACCAACTAGAACCTGACACTTCCCTTCCTCCTCCCTTCACCTCGATCTGGAGCTGCAGCTCAGACCTCTGCTCCAGGCCTCAGACCCAGGAGCCCAACTGCCTGCTAAGCATCATCAGGTGATTGGCTCAAGAGTGACATCAGAAATATCAACTTCCACACCCAGGGAAAACTTCCAAGTTATTTGAGACAAATTACCACCCTCCCCTGCAAAATGGTGCTAATATAAATGTGCTCCCTGAGGAGGAAGAGGAGGCCTCTAACCACCCACCAATCACGTTTCTGGATGTGGTAGTTCACCGTAGATTCAAACCAAATTCTCACCCTTCATCCCAGTCACAGAGAAAGAACCTTCTCATTTCCACTTCACAACATCAGCATCATCTTAGGGAATATATAAGTGTATTTCACTTAGGCCACTAACTAGAAGATCAGCTGAAATCACAGTGACCCTGACTGAGTAACCCTGGTCCACAAAGCAATGCAGAGGTAGCCAGAGAGCAACTGGGTCATTTTGGAGTCCCCTTCTGCCCTGTCAGAATGGAGTAGTCCAAGGTCCCCTTCTCTCTAGAATCTGCTCTTCTGAGCAACAAATCTGCCCTGGCATCACAGTGGGTTATTTGTGGAGTACTTTGTGTTGATGATGTTGTTGCTCATGTGGCTATTCTTATTGAGTATTTTAAGTTCCTGTATATTTCATATAGTAACTTTCTGTCACATTCATCGTTTGCAAAAATTTTCCCCCATTCTGCAGGCTGTCTCTTCCCTCTATGGCAAGTTTGCTGCATAGAAGCTTCTCAGTTTGACTAATCCTATTTGTCTATTTTTACTTTTATTCCCTGTATTTTGGGGGTCTTATGAAAAATGTCATTGCCTATACCAATGTCACAAGATGTTTACTCTGGTTCCTTCTAGTGGTTTCATAGTTTCAGATCTTACATTTGAGTTTCTTACCCATTCTGTTCTCATTGTCATTTTTTGTTGTTGTTTGTGTTATGGGGGATGAAACCAGGGCCTCCCACATGCCAGGCAAGTGCTTTACCACTGAGCTACAACCCAGTCCTCAAGTTTATTTTCATACCAAGAAATAGAGGTCAAATCTAAATCTCCTCCTAGTGAATATCCAGTTTTTCCAGCACTATTTATTGAAGACATTCTCCTTTCTCCAACATATGATTTTGGCACCTTTGTTGAGAATCATTTGCCTATAAGTACATAGGATTATTTCTGAATCTATTCTGTTCCACTGGTCTGCATGTCTATTTTTAAGGGGATAAATTCAAATAGCCAACAAATTCATGGGAAAAAATCCCTCAAATTAATTAGTCATCAGGGCCATAAGAATCAAAAAATACTATCTCACCAAAGTTAGAGTGGTCATCACCAAAAAGAAAACAAAAAACAAATGATGGCAAGGATGTGAGTGAGAGGAAACTCTCATACACTATTGATGGGAATGCAAACTAATACAGTCATATGGAGAACAGATGGAGGCACTAAAAGTAGATCTACTATATAATCCACTTCTGGGTATATCTCCAAAGGAAATGATATCAGCATATAAAAGAGATACCTGCCACCCACATTCATGGATGCACTGTTCACAGTAGCTGATATGGAATCAACCCAGATGCCATCAGTGGATGAAAGGATAAAGAAGCTGTGCTATATACACACAGTTGTATATAATGGAATATTATTCAGCCACAAAAGAATGATATTTCATCATTTACAGCAAAGAGGGTGGAATTAGAGGGTATTACATTAAGAGAAATAAGTCAAACTCCATGTTTTTATGCATGTATGTTTTTAAAAGTTAATCTAAATGTTAACAGTGATTACTAGAGGCTGAGAAGTGTTGAAGGGTGGGTAGTGGGAGATTGGATAATGTGTACCAAAAGAGTTAGATAGCAGTAATATGTTCTGGCGCTCTACAAAAGAGTTGGGGGACAAGTCTTTGCAATGACCTATTATGTTTTATGTCTAACCAGAGAGAAAAGCTCAAAGGCCCCAATTATAAGGTAGTGAGAAGAAAATGGAAATATTAATTGTCCTGATTTGATCAGTACCCACTGTATACATGTATTGAAATATCACACTGTGGCCCATAAACGTGTACAATTATTGTGTTCATTTAAAGTTTGAAATGTTTGAGATAAAAATGTTAACTATCCTGATTTGAACATTATGTTCTCTATCTAAGCATAAATTATCACACAGTACCCATGAATTTATAGAATTAAAATAATACTGTTTTTAAAAGATGATACAGGCGATAACCAAAAATACAAGCAACAATAAATGTTGGCAAGAATGTGGGGAAAAAGGCACACTCATACATTCTTGATGGGGCTGCAAATTGGTGCAAACACTACAAAAAGCAGTATGGAGATTCCTCAAGAAAACTTAGAATGGAACCACCATTTGACCCAGCTATCCCACTCTTTGGTTTATACCCAAAGGACTTAAAATCTGCATACTTCAGTGATGCAGTCACATCAATGTTTATAACAGCGCAATTCATAATAGCTAAACTATGGAACCAACCTAGGTACCCTTCAACAGATTAACAGATAAAGAAAGTAGGGCATGGAAACATAACGGAATATTACTCAGCTTAAAGAATAATAAAATTATGGCCTTTGCTGGTAAATGGATGGAACTGGAGAATATCATGCTAAGAAAAATAAGCCATCCCCAAAAATCAAAGGTTGAATGTTTTCTCTGATATTCGGATGCTAATTCACAATAAGGGGGTGGGGGGACTAGGGAAGAATGGAGGTACTTGGATTAGTACAGAGGGGAGTGAAGAGGGGAGAGGGTGTAGGGGCAAGAAGGATAGTAGAATGAATCAAACATTATAACCCTATGTGCATATATGATCACATGACTACATCATGTAAACCAGAAGAATGAGAAGATATAAACCATTTATGTATGATGTGTTCTACTATCATGTATAACTAATTAGAACAAATTTTATAATTTTCTTTAAAAGATGATAGTAGACAGTGGAGCTAACAAGTCTCTCAGCCCCATAATTACAGTTTGAGCTGAAAAGGGCATTTCTTTGATTCTTCAAATTTTAGGAAAAAAAGAATACTTTCCCATTTTCTCTGCTTTACTTTTTTAAAGGGGAGAAAATGAAGAGCAAAAAAATCAGCTATTTTGGGGGGCATGAATGAAGAACTTAAATCTGCATTATTGTGCCCAGGAAAGGGAACAATCAGAATATGATTTCTATTTAGAGCAGAAAAATGGAATGGAGGGTCATGCTCTTACTGTAAAATCCCATGATGCTGACTCAAAGTTAAACCTGGCTGCCATCCATTTAGATACTTAGGAATGGTAACAGAAGTCCTATTACAAAGCAAACCCTCTTCCCATGGGAGCACTACACTGGGGCAAGTGGAGGTTCAAGAGGAACCATTCCTCTGGAGCAAAAGAATGTAATCTGCCCATGCCTTGCAGACCAATCCATTGGTTCCCTGCCAATCAGAAGGCTGCAGTGCACATATTAGGAGGTTCCCTTCTTCCCTCACCTTCTCCCTGATGCAAGTAGTTGTCACCGATTGCTGGGACTTTCCCAATCCTACCTTTTAGAGTACAGACCTCAACTCTCCTACATTTATGAAAAATTCTGGTTCTTCTTTGTCAACTGCTTCCCACCCACAACTAATTCCACTTTGGATCACTCTGAACCACATCTCACTGCGAGGAACACTTCATCTTTGGAAACCATGAGAGTTTTTTTTCTGTCATTAGAATTGAAA